TGATCAAAGTTTGATCCAACAGTTTGATCAAAGTTGGATCCAACAAATTGATCAAAGTTTGATCCAACAGTTTGATCAAAGTTGGGTCAAACAGTTTGATCAAAGTTTGATCCAACAGTTTGCTCAAAGTTGGGTCAAACAGTTTGATCAAAGTTGGATCCAACAGTTTGATCAAAGTTTGATCCAACAGTTTGATCAAAGTTGGATCCAACAGTTTGCTCAAAGTTGGGTCAAACAGTTTGATCAAAGTTGGATCCAACAATTTGATCAAAGTTGGATCCAACAGTTTGATCAAAGTTTGATCCAACAGTTTGATCAAAGTTTGATCCAACAGTTTGACCAAAGTTGGGTCAAACAGTTGGGTCAAACAGTTTGATCAAAGTTGGATCCAACAGTTGGATCAAAGTTGGATCAAACAGTTTGATCAAAGTTGGGTCAAACAGTTTGATCAAAGTTGGATCCAACAGTTTGATCAAAGTTTGATCCAACAGTTTGATCAAAGTTTGATCCAACAGTTTGATCAAAGTTGGATCCAACAGTTTGATCAAAGTTTGATCCAACAGTTTGATCAAAGTTGGGTCAAACAGTTTGATCAAAGTTGGATCCAACAGTTTGCTCAAAGTTGGGTCAAACAGTTTGATCAAAGTTGGATCCAACAGTTTGATCAAAGTTTGATCCAACAGTTTGATCAAAGTTTGATCCAACAGTTTGATCAAAGTTGGGTCAAACAGTTTGATCAAAGTTGGATCCAACAATTTGATCAAAGTTGGATCCAACAGTTTGATCAAAGTTTGATCCAACAGTTTGATCAAAGTTTGATCCAACAGTTTGACCAAAGTTGGATCAAACAGGTTGAAAAATTTCGGGCCGAAATTTATCAATAAGGAGTCGTTAATAAGATTACTTAAACCTGCATGCCGCTGCATGCTCATTAATGCATTATCAACTCAGTGCTTCTAGTTGACAATTTTGAGACATTTTAAGTTTTGATGTGTGAAATTTTTTGAATATTCCACATTTTATATCAAATGAGTTGGCGTCCACGTGTCTGTTTCGGGCAAAGTTACTCAGGCAGAGATTATTGTCAGCGTGCTGTCTGTTTGATTAAGCATTTAATTAATCCATCTTGTGTGCCCGGCTCGTCATTACCGAGGCACTGCCACTTTGAAGACCGTCTGCAGTTAATCCATTCCGAGGAGGGAGCGTGTGCGGCAATTTCCTGCTTTGAGCCCGAGGACGTGAAACACGCGCTTTGTCCTCTTTCTCTCGCCGCCGCTTTTTAATCTACTCCAATCTGCTGCCGGTCGCTCTTTTTGTGTCCTCAGCTTCTCTGTCGCGCGCGCTCGTCATCACCATAATTGCGAATTTTCATTTTCGCCAGCACTCTGTTATTTAGCGCCGTGATGAGCCCAATTACCAATTATTATGTCACGTTTAAACCAACGCGCGAAGCTGCTCTTAATGTGACTCATATTTCGTTGTTTAAAATAAGATTTGTGCTGGATGAGAATAAAAAATAAAATTAAATTTAAAACTAATTTCCTGACAAAAAAAAAATTAATTATCAACCGGTTCACGCGGTGGCCGATCTCTTTTTGATGTCGGGCGTTTTAGCAGACCTCTGCTAGTTGTGATACCCTTTCTGCTCATTTTTTCCAAATCAATTTTTTTTTCATGTATGACTTGAGTAGAATAAACAACAATAATAATCATTTCAAAAGCACGGTAAACAATAGATTAATATAATAATAATAACAAACGCCATGACAATGAATTATAAATGGAATGACTGCAAAATATAAATCATTTTTTGAAAAAGGCAACGAAATAGAATGGTTAAGCATGGAAAATGAAAAGTCATGGAAATGGAACCATTCTATCATTAATTTGACCCCTGGTTCAGAACTGGTTTAGAAATGGTGCAGAACTGGTGTAGAACTATTGCAGAGCAACTGGACCGGTTTTGCACCATTTCTGTGACATTTTTGCACGAGATCTGCACTGATTCTAAATTTAAAAATAAAATTAAATTCTCATTTAGATTTTTTTAGAGTAAAAAAATCATTTCAAAAGCACAGTAAACAAATATATTAATATTAAAAATAAATAACAACCAGACGTCATGACCTTAAGCATGACCAGGTGGTTAAATTTGCGGTGGCGGCGTAGATGTATGATATGGCAATATTGTAAAAAAAGGAAAATCCAATCTACGCGCATAATTCGTAATAAAATGTACAGGACTTATAAATTAATAAATAAACCAGAAACTAACTTTCTTGCGCGAAAAACTAATTCACCAGAAACTCACTTTCTGGCCCAAGAAACCAATCGCCAGAAATCTTTTACTTACGCAAGAAAGTGCTTTTCTAGTAAATTAGTTTCTCAAACGGCCCCATTGAAAGAAAAGAAGCTTTAAGATTCAAACGCAAACGGTAAAACGAAATGTTAAATGTAGTTTTTAATTCATTTGGTAACTTCAAATTTAAAGTAAAAGGAAGCTGCTAATTGAAAAGTAACACTCGAGGTGGATTTATATGTAAAAGTTTTTGTTTATCAAAATTAAACTCTCCCCATTTATTTTTAATATTTTTATGATTTCCTTCCACTTAGTTTTAGTTGGGACACGAACGACAAAACCCTAGGTTTTTAAAGTACCAGCAGACCGCAGGTCGCCTTTGGGGGTCAATTTTCCTTTATTTTTTTCATTTTTTCTTTGCAAAAGTAGCTTGTAATGTTAGCAATTATTATCAACATCTGAAATCGCAGTCATAACTTGATAAAAATTGAGCTAAAAATAATGTTTTCGCATTCTAATTAATTATAATTTTTCAAATTCAAACTGAATTTCCTCCTACGCTGCTCCTTTATTGAAACAAGCATTGAAAGAATTTGTTACTGATTTTACTCTAACCTTCCTGCGAGTCATGATTTTAAAGCTGAATTTTAGAAATATATATTTAAAAAATGAAATTAAATCCCAAAATTGTATAAATATTAAATACTGGCAATTATTTATATATGGGGCACAACAGGACCTAATTTGAAAGACAACTTATTGCTTTAATTATTTTATTTTTTTAATTTGAAATTCTTTAGTTTAGATGTCTGATATGGTTTTAAGTTTAAAATATGTGAAAAAATATCACTTGCCATTCTTTGTTAGAAAAGCTTTCCTTCTCTTTTATTGTTTCTTTTTCGACTCTCTCAATGTTTTATTTGCTCACAAAAGCGGGAAATCTAGTCTTCATTAATATTTTCCGCAGCGAGTTGGCCCACTGGTTGTCAGCAGTGGAGTTGGAGAGACAAGGCAGAAAGTTTTAGGTTGATTGCGACTTTCCTCTCAAACACTCATCCCTCCGCTGCTCCGTGTTTTGACGTCTGGCGGAGGGAAATGAGTGCGGCGGCCGAGATTTGCGGAGCGCCGCCGTCTTGCTGCTTCTGCCGCTGGTGATCGCATTTTTCGCGGCCGCGCGCTCATCGATTTTCGCATTGTTCCTCATTTGAGCCGCTCGATCGCCGCTGCACTTATAGTTAGCGATACGCGCCTCTGCGTAATAAAATGGCAATGCCTGCTGCTGGACGCACGTGGAATATTTTTGCCACACACAAACGATCGCAAAGTTCTTACGAGCCAAAGATAATAAAATATCCATTAAAGTTGCGACCAACTCGCCGCGCCGTTTATACGCTCCCTAAACCATAAAGAAGTAGTGTTGATGACAAATATTTATTCCGGTCTTTTATGTCTTGCAAGAGCAATAAAATTTAAAAACCTCGGTCTGATACGCCAAGGTGTTGAAAGGTATTTAAAGGCTACAAAAGTCCTTTTAAAACCATTACTTTCTTTTAGTAAATCTTTTGGAAGTTAAGTGTTTTTATTAATTTATTGTGTTGATTACTATTTCTGATAAATAGTAAGAATAACAATTCGTTTAGAGGAGTCAAATTTTAAAATGAAATAGAAACGGTGAATTTAAAATCAACAAATCTTCAACCAAATTCTGCTCCCATTAATTTCTTGTTTGATGATATATAATAAATTGGTAATCTGAAGGGAATCTAAATTTAATAATTTAAAAAAAAAAATGTGTTTATGATATCAAGGCAATCACTGCAGTTAGTGTAGTTAAATCAAGAAATCAATTTATAACTCTATTAAGTACAATTAAAAAATAAAAAAGTTGTTAATTAAATAAAAGTTAAAAAATGAAAAAAATTGTAAATAAAAATGATCTATTTATCTTTTTTGATATAATATTAACAAAAATAGTAAATAACTTAAATGACATTTAAAAATAGCAGCAGAAATCACTTTTTGTGTGTTTAACTGTAGATGACCGCGTAACATAGGACAAAGAGTAATTTGTTTAAAGTTGAATTTAATCAAAAATAAAATGAAAATGCATTGGTTGAACTCTTTACTGTTTCCTGTAAAGAGTTTTTATTTTTTATCTTTCCAAGCATAAAAAATTAGGGTAGAAAAACACGTCATTCTACTTTATTTAAAATTTTGAAATGAAATTATGAAGAATGATGTATTATACTCCAAGAAAGTGTTCAATAGAGTGTCTCACTTTTCATCACTTTCCATTGTAAATGTCTCTTTTGGAGCTCTATTTTTATTTTGATCGGGAATTTAGGGGTCAGGGGATGATTTATGCTGGAAATGGAGATTCAAGAGGTGAAACTTTTTGTTTTAAAATGTTCAGACAAAAAGACAGGCATAAATTTTTAACGCTAATGTGATTAAAAAAACCCCCATTATGAGAACCTGAAAACAGCAAAATTGAGTATCAATTAACCGTTGTAATTAAGTGAATATTAATATTATTTATATAAAAAAATACTGCATTCTTAAATCCATTATTTTCCTGTTATGTTTCCCTCATTTTAATTCAAAGAAAAAATATATCTTGTAACTGCTGGTGAATGAAATTTTGAAGTTAGCAATAAATCAAATGCGTGCAACAACTGAATTATTGTGTTGTGTGTTTCAGGTGCGGAAGCATGTTGGGTGGGGTGGCGGGTCGGCACATGAGCAACCGTCGGCGCGGCAGCACCCCGAACACGTCGGTGCTCAAGTCGGCTTTGCAGAGCGGCGAATGGCCCCACCACCCCCAGCAGACCACCCCCCTGGCGACGACGCCGTCGTCGCGGCGCCAGAGTGTCTTCTCGGCGGCGCCGGCCGGCGCCAGCACGCCACCTGTGTCCGGTCTCGCGAATCTCGGCGCCGAGCACGCGTCGAGCGGGTTGCCATCTGGCAGGGGCAGTCTGCAGCAGCGGCACGTGCGCCTCTCCATCCCTGAAGTTAGCTCGCCTCGCTACCGCCGCAGAAGGGCCGTCACGGAAGGTGACCAAAAAACATGCGCCCTCGTCCAGTCGCGTTTGAAATTGGGTGACATCATGTAAGTATTCTTGCCCCCGCCAGTCTCGCGCGAAACCAAGTCCAAAGTGTACACGCCAATTTTCCCTTCTCTCTTCTTCTTCTGCAATATATGATGTGTGTCCGCCGCCGCAAAATGTGAAACTCGTCGGAACTGCCCAGTGTGACCCCCAAAGACTTTTTTTAAAGTAATTTATCATGGACCTCGGAAATATTATGTGAGTATCTCGTTTCTCCGCACGAGTTTGGATTAATTGAGAGCATGCGGAATTTATAATTATCTTTTCGACTTTTGCTTTTTCCGCAAGTTAATCATATTTATATTGCACTTGGTTTTTGCATAAGCGGCTTAAAATTTTCACACTCATACGTTAGTGGAAACAAACATGCTTTGCCACTCGTTTATAATTCTATGCTTGGCCTGCAGAATTTTCTTAAAATTAAGAGGATTATTCTGTGCGAATTTTAATGAAGCGTCGACTTTTTACGGCCCGGCCGTTTAATGACGTTTGCCCTAAAGTGGAAACGTTTTCTCAATTCTAGAGAAATTAAACGCCAGTCCATCTCAAACGTACAATAAAGTTTACCAAATGTAATGTTTAATGCAATTTTTTTTTTTTAACTTTATAATCCATTTTTTTTTAACATTAAATCTATTATATTTCTATAAGATTGCAAACACAATGAAGGCATGGAGGTCCCTTTGGTCTCAATATTAGATGGTTTTGCCAAAGTTTGGATTTCAAAAAATGCAACCCGCACGACGGGCGTGTCCAGAATTTGCCCAAAACCGCACTCTTTGTATTGATCAATGCAATTTATCGTACAAGAATGTCAAGCAGGTTGCATAGTAAAAGAATTTTAGTTCAGATAGTTCAGTTTAGTTTTCAGAAATCGTTTATAAAATTCATATTTTTTGTCATATCTTCGGTGAAATGTCATATTTTAAGCTTAAATTAGTTGATAAAGAAAATGCTCCAAAAATTTATATTTCGTAGAAAAAAATCATACAAAATAAAAAAAACGTAAATTTGATTATCTTTAAAAAGCTTATAATTAAAATCTTTTTCGGTGCCAACTAGAAAAAGTTTCTAAAATAACTCTCGTCAATAGTTTTTTTAAGTGCTCCACACTTCACTGAAAGAAATTTTGAAGGCTTTTTAGTAATCTGCCCTCAAATTAATTATAAAACAAAATTTATTAATTGTAAGCGCAAGTTAAATCTTTAAAAATTTCTTATTCCAATGCGATATTTGTTGAACCATTTCTTGTGGTTAAAATACTGAGCTTTTGCGAACTTATCATTAAATTGCTCTCATTTTCTTCTTCATCTCGAGTGATGAACGCGTAAAATGCGGTCAATCTGCGTCGCCTCTCCGGTGTATAAATTTTATGAAGCGCAGTCTCCGGCATAAAATTGCTCGCCAGGCATCTGCAAAGTCGGCCATTCCAGCCTGCCTGTCCGCGAGAGAGCAGCAAATCGTCCCGCCGGCCGATTCTCCAGCAAACAACATTTGCGAGAATTTTTACGACTCACTAAAAGTGTGCGCGCGTTATGCAGATCTCGGCAGAAAGAAAATAGGAATAATTATGCCAAGGAGCAGACGCTTCTCTGCTTCGGCGAACATTTAAACGGAGGCGGGTTGGTGCCAAATTAAAGTAATTATCTGGAGCGGTGATTGCTGCGCTCCCCTCACGGATGCCCCTCGCGCACCCTCTTGAATGGTTTCGCCATCAAAATTCATACTTTGGCGGCGGAAAAAATTGGCTTCGGCCGCCGTTATGGAAATTGCTCTGCCTAGTTCTTTTGGCTAAAATATGAAATTTCACTTTTGTTCCATTGCTCGGATGAAAAGAAGACGAGGAAAAAACACAAACACATGAGTGCTTATATTTTGTTGCGAAGCTCCTCCTTTGGATAACCAAGAGGGGATTATTATTTTACCCCAGCTTCAGAATTTTTTGGATCAACCAACCCCGCGAAATGATGCGCAACGATTTTCGTTGTACGAAAAATTGGCCTGAAAATTGGACGGCCTCCAGCCGGAATGATTTTGCATTTATTTATATTGGCTCGCGAAGCGAATGATTTGCTTCACTCGTAAAACGAGGCACATTTTTCATGGTTATCTCTAATACCCTGACTAACATGGCGAGAATTTTGGAATCGCTTCTCTACTCCATTGTAGATCGATATAGAGGAAATGGATAGCAAAAAATTTAGAATAACATCCATGTTAGCTTTTCTATCTGGTTTGAAAGATAATTTGAGGTTTATTGAAGAGAATGACATAATTATTTTCCCTCAAAAGAATACCAAAATTATTTAAATTTAAAGCAAAGTTTCTCTCTTTTTTTAAAGATTCTGATTCTAAGAAAATTAAAGAGCAAACATTTTTTACTGGTGGCACGATTTTGAAAACAATTGTAAAATGTATGCGGAAGAAGCCGAAAATTAAAATCAGCAGGTTAAAATGCATATATCATTTTAATAAAATAGGGCTCTATATTGCCATATAATTATAATTTTTGTATTATATATCTATATAAAAATATATAAATTTAAAACAAAATTAAAATAAATGTTTAAATAATCTTTTTATTCTCTAATGTGGGCAATCGTTATTTTTTTTTAACTTTAAATCCATGCTAAATTGCACTCACTGCACTAGTCCACGTCTACACAGTACCTAATTATTAAAATTCAGCATTCTTATCAAGACATAAGTAAATAGCAAACTAAGTAAGAATTTTAATAATTCACTTTGTAATGAAATCAAATATATGAATGTCTTTTCAATTGTTTCTACATCTATGAGATATATTCTTTTGTAAAATACTTCCATTCTTCAAAATTTGAAAGTATATTTATAGAACTATTGCAACTCTAATATTTACAAAATATTAAAAGTGAGACTGTGGTTCTATAAAAAGCATGTGCCGGCATTCAGAAGGTTTGATCAATCGGCTGTGAATCGCATGGCACATATTTTTGAAGTTGGCGGCCGCTGGCAATTATCTTAACATGATCGCGGCTGGAGAGTGGAGGGAGGATGTGCTTTGAAGGCGACACACAAAGACCTGATTGAGAGTTAGAGCAGCAGCGCGGCAGCTGCCGATGGGTTTTGCTTTCAGCTTTTTATTAAAGAGACTCTGCTCAGATTGCAGAAGTGAAGCGCCGCCACTTGCAATACTTGCCGGCCAATTACGGCACTTCTCGAATTAAATATCGATTTTTTTTCTCGCTAGTTTCATGCAAAAACTCATTTCCATAAAAGGTACAAAAATAGGGAAACATGACGAAAGAACTTTTAACCAACAACACTTTTGAAAAGTTTGCAGGTGATTTCAACTATGGAAATAGTTTAGAAAAACATCTTTCTAATATTTCTGTTTCCAAATAAAATATGTGTAAAAAGTTCAAGGGGCCAGTCGCATTCTTTTTTTAATTTTTAAATTCTGGGAAAATATATTATCATATAGATTTATTTATTCACTTAATGACAAATTTGTGCTATTGCTATGCATTTTTATTTTTTTTTATTTTTTGATACATTTTTTACTCTTGAACTAAATTGTAGAGTGGTAAAATAAACATTCAAATCTTTTAAATTATTATTCATATTAAAATAATTAATTATTTCCGTATTTTAGCCAAAAGTAATCAGAAAAATAAATATTTAATTTGCTAAAAAACAAATTCTGAAAATATTTTTAATAAATAAATAGAACAAGATATTAAATATTTGTATTTTAAGTAGAAGAAATATTTTTAAATTAAATTTTATCTGAACTATGAATTTTTGGATAAAAGAAGATTATAACTACCTTAAATTGAACTCAAATCTAAAGAGTCTTCTGTAAGAGACTTTTTCATCAGTCTAATTACTTAACAAGATGCGCTTTTTAAGTATTATTTTATTTTAAGTTTGTATCTTTTTATATTCCATGTCTACAATTGAACCAAAAGACACTTTAATCTGCTTTAATCTAATGTCATGACTAAAATTAACTTTAAAGAAAAGCAGAAGTGAAAGAAATAGTAAATTGCGACATCAACAAACATACAAACAAAAGCAAATTGATTGATTTTGTTTAAAAAAGGCACCAGTCCAAAACATCATTGGGGTTGTGTTTTTCAGAGGGGAAATGATATAATCGAGATAGTCTGTGGCCCCATCAAGAAGTCATTTTCTGCAAAGTCGCATCGAAGGAAACTGTGTTGACGAGCGCATGAGATCTTTTGTCAGCGGTGCGCGCGAAATGGAGCAATGACGGTCGATATTATCAATAGGCAAATCTGTCGAGCCCGAGGCGTTTTCCGTGAGACTTTATTCAATATCATATTTTCGCCGACTTCTCGCTGGGGTGTATGGGTGTGTGTATAATTGCCGCGGCGCCTTATCGCTGATGAACTTCCGCCGGGCGCACGCGGTTGCCTTTGGCGCCACCGCGACGCCAGCGCCACTTTCCCGACCGCTTTCAGCGCCGCGCTCATCTTTTCCGGAGACCCGTTCGCCGACGGCTGATGCCCTCTGAGTCGTGGCGGTGCGCACTAGTTGCGCCGCAACCCCTCGCTCCATTTCCACTGCCAACTTTAATAGACAGACGTGTTCGCGCAGCTCAACCTTATTAATTATAAACAATTATTAAATGAGCTGCTGATGTATCCTCCAGTTTCAAATGAGCACCACTTTGCTCAAATTCGAATTCAAATTATTCAAAGCAAAAGCAAAGGCAATTCTGAAAATATTTTTTTAGCAGCAGCAAAAATTTACGAATTTTCCAAAAAAAAAAAATCTGTTTTATAATTATTTAGATAATTTTTGTAGGTCGGAGCATAAATTTTAAATCACCAGAATCCTTTTTTTAAATACCTCTGGGGAAATAATTATTTTTAAATCCATTTTGCGGGCACGAATAAAAATTTAGCAAAACAGATCAATATTTGGCTTTTTCATTCCTTTGTTTGATTTTTCTGCACTGGAAAAGTTCAAGTATTTGAACATCTTTTGTTGAGGA